AGCCATTCTCGGCTAGGGGCTGTCCGAGACTATCTTGAGCCATGCTCTGATATCTTGGACCATCTTGAGGCTGCCTGGAGGCCTCTTGGAGGTCCGTCGCAGGCTATATTGAGCCATGCTCGCCCTCCTGGGACCATCTTGGGGGTAGGAGGAGGAAGAGGAGCAGGAGGAGGAGGAGGAGGAGAAAGAGAGAAGGAGGGGTTTGGGGAAGAAGAAAAGGAGAAGGAATGCGGCACGAGGAATGCTGGTGATGACGATGATTTCGATGATGATGATGATGATGATGACGATGATGATGATGATGATGATGATGATGATGATGATGATGATGATGATGATGATGATGATGATGATGATGCTGCTATTGCCGATGATGACTGTGATGATGAGTATTTCGATGATGTTGATGATGCTGAGTATGATGATGATGTTGATGATGCTGCTGATGGTAGTGAGGATGGTGATGCTGATGATGCTGATGGTGATGATGGTGACGATGACGATGGCGACGAGGATGTTGATGCTGATGCTGATGCTGATGCTGCGGTTAATGTTGATGTTGATGATGATGCTGATGATGCTGATGCTGATGCTGATGTTGATGATGTTGTTATTGATAATGATGACGATGATGATGACGCTGCTGATGATGATGCTGCTGATGATGATGATGCTGCTGCTGCTGATGATGATGATGATGATGATGATGATGATGATGATGATGATGATGATGATGAAGGGGGAGGAGAAGGAGGAGGAAGTGGGAATGCAGGAGGAGGGTGGCAGGGGGTGGGAGGAGGATGATCAGGAAACGGGCAGCCCTGATCAAGGACGTGGGGGAGCAAACGGAGGAACAAGGGGCTGGAGAAACCGTCGTACCTCAAGAGGGGGAAGAAGGAGGAGGAGTCGGAGGAGGAGGAGGAGGAAGAGTAAGAGGAGGGCGAGGAGGAAGGACGGAGGAGAAGCATGTGTGCAAGGAGAAGGAGGAGGCGGAGGAGGAGGAGGTGGGGGAGGGGGAGGGAAAGCGGAGGAGGAGTTGGCGGATAAGGAGGAGGGGAAGGAGGAGTAGGAACAGGAGGGGAGGAGCAGGAACACGGCAAACAAAAGAGCCATATATCTCTTGAATGCCTCTCAGAGTCTCCTGGAATGTCTCTTGGAAGGTTGTTGGAGGTCCCTTGGAGTGTCTGGAGGGCATCTTGGCGGGCCCATGGTGGCCTTTAAGCGTCTTGGGTGCCTCGGGGATCCTCTTGAGGCCTCTTGGGGGTCTCTTGGGAACCTCTTGGAGGCCTCTTGGACGCCTCCTCTCGGGGCGCGCTTGGGAGCTTTAGGGGCGCTCTTGGGGCCATCCTGGAAGACATCGATCAACAGAGGAAAGGGTCGCAATTAGCCTCCCCCGTCGGGAGCCCGAAGCATCGCCTCTTGGGGCGCTCTTTGGGCGCTCTTGGAGCGCTCGTGGGCGCTCTTGGGGCTGTCTTGGGGCTCTCTCGGGCCTCTCTTGGGGCCCCCTTGGGCCATCTTGGAGCCACCCTGGGGCCTGGGAAGGCTATCCAAAGCGAACGGGCGACGATGCAACAAACATTGAGGTTCCCTAGGTATTTGCAGGTTTTTGGCTTCTTGGGGACCTCCTTGGAGCCGTCTTGGAGCGTTCTCGGGGCCTCTTGGAGCATCTTGGCAGTCATGTTGAGCCATCTCCGGCTATCTTGAGCCATCTTGGAGGTCATGGTAGGCTCTCTGAGGCGTTGTTGGGGCCGTCTTGGGCCACTTTGGACGCTCCAACGACCCGCGAAACCCAACGTCCAGGTCCAGGGCAGGGGGTATGGGGGAGGGGCCACCCCCTCCCCGAAGGGGAAGAAGGGGTTGGAAGAGGAGCCTCCCTAGACCACCTACGCCCAGAGGGCTGGTGGGATTCGTGTTGCTGTCATCCTAGACAAGGAATCCGAAGACAAGTATCCTTACAAAAGGGGTCCCTACTGAAGGAATCATTACTACAGGCATCCTTGCTCAGGGTTCCCTATTAAGGGGTGCTTGCTACGGACTCCAAGTTTGGCATCCGTAGTTGGAGATCTGTCTAAAGGAGATTTTACTCAGTATTCCTGGCTAGAGGAATCTTTACTGAGTGTCCCATAATAAAGCACACTTGCGAAGGAGTCCTTACTAAAGGAACTCTTACTACATAACCAAACGTAATTGGGGACAGCTGAGTACACTTGCCCTTACGTATACGTACTCCGGATGTCATACTACATCACAGGCGCTTTTGTCAAGGAATCCGTACCACAGGCATGTTACCAACCAACGATTTCTTACGGAAGGGGTCCGCATTAAGGACTGTTTTCTAAAGGGGCCCTTGTTGAGGAAATCCTTGCTGCAGGCACCCTGACTCAGGACTCCTTCCTACAGGGGATCCTGGAGAGTGGCAGCGACGACGCCGACGCCTCCGCCCAGGCTGCCAGATGCCGCAAGGTTTGGCAGAGAACGTGCCTGGACCTCCTCCAGCAGACGCGCCCTGAGCCCCAGGAACGTTTCTGGCGTCGTAGGCTCGCCCGGTGGCGGATTAGCCTGCCCGCGGTGGCCCGCCCCCTTCGGGCACATGCAGTCTTGCACTTGCTGAGGCCGGCCGTGCCCCCGCGTGTCAAGGCTGCCCTGGTGCGCACCTGGTTTAACGGGTGGTGCACGGGGCGGCGGTTCCGACAGCAGGATTACTCTTGCATCTTCGGTTGCTTAGCCGAGGATTCCATCGAGCACCACTCCCAGTGCCGCGTGGTGAAAGAGTGTGCTTGGCGTTACCTCGCCCTGCCTCCGTCCTCCTCCTCTCTCTCCGATTTTCTGTTGCTTTCGAAACCATTGCAGCAATTTGGTCGAAACATCTTCGTCCGCGAGGCCGTCCGCACGGCCGCCCTGTACAGTCTGCATGTCCGCTGGCGGCACGCGGACACGACAGCGACGCCCACCGCCTCCGCTCTGGGCCAGGCGGCGGTGGAGCTAGTCCGCGGGCACTCCGCCGCACGCACAGGGGCGCAAGGGTTCGTGGGCGCCCGCCCGCCGCCGCGGCCGTAGTAGCTCGGCTGGCATCGCTGGCCCGTGCCTCCCCTCCCGTCCTCCTCCCCTGCTCTCTCCTGCCCCCCGCTCCCTCTGGCCTCCCCCCTCTCGGCCCCGCTGCGCCATCCATGCGCCCGATGCGGGAGAATGTAGGACAGATGCCGAAGCAAATGTTCGCAATTCGCCTGGGCATGTTTTTGCTAGTGCTTCGCCTAGGCCTGCCCGCAAGGCCGCGCCCCCGTAAGTTCACGCCCCCGTCCTCTCCTCTTAGCACAGTGGCAGTCTACATGGTAGTCTAGAGGCCACGGCAGTCGCGGGGCATTTTTGTCAGGCCAGCCGGAGGGCCTGTGATGCAGCCGCGACGCTCGTCGTGCACGGTCCTCCTCCCTTCCTTCCTCCGTCCTCCGCCTCCGTCCTCCGCCTCCCCTCTTCCTTCCTCCCTGTTTGAATCATGGTGCAGTTTATTGGCCTATGGATTCCAGGACGCGCTGCGCCCAGCAACCGGTTCGAACGGCATCTCTCCCTCGTCTCTGTCCTCCCGCCCTGGCCTCCCGGAGGCGGAGCGCCGGTCCGCCCTGCTGGGTCGGGCCGGCTCTCCGCCTCCTTTGCCTGTCTCGTCCTCGTTCTCCCCCGAATGCTGGAGCTTCACTTCTGGACACCTTGTCCGTCGGAGTGCTATTTGTTCGTCGCGTCACTTTCCTTTTTCTCTCCTCTCCTGCCGCTGCCGCTTTCCACTATCCACCATCGTGATAGCTTCCTAGATTCGCTCTGTCGGGAGCTGCGCTCGAGGGGGATTTCCGAGTGCAAGGGCTTCACCGCTCTCTCCTTCCTCGTCCTCCTCCTCCTCCAATTCCTCCTCCTCCTCCTTGGCATCTGAGGGCGAGGCTCATATTGTGTTGTCAGTCGTGGTTTCACTTTGTTGCCCCAACTTTGGGCAAATGGTCGGACAATGAATGTCACGGGTAGCGCTTGCTTGTCCCGGCCGCGTGGCCGATGCATGCATTTGCCCTTTTCAGGATGATACATTTTGTGGGAATTCGTATCTTCAGGCAGGTCTGCCCTTCTCCCCCTTCCGCTCTCCCCCCTTTGCCCGAGTCCGGGGCTACTGCAGGTTTTTGCCTTCATCTCTGCACTGTGGCCAGCTCTCGTCGCCCGTTCACTCACCTCAGCTGTCCTCCTTCTCCTGCCACAAAAGCGCTTGGGGAAAAAACAAGGGATCATTACGAAGGGTTATGTCATGAATGGCGTCCTTATTAGAAGCTCAATACCCGAGGTGTCTTTTGTCATCATCCCGCACTAAATGGACCGAACATCATCGACGCCGTTATCCCGTTCATGATTCTCTTATTCAATCATCTCTTTATCATGATTAAAGACGTGGGGTCCCGTTATGCTCTCCAACCCCTCCCCCCCGTAGAGGAGGAGGAGGAGGTGGAGGAGGTGGTGGAGGAGGAGGAGGAGGAGGAGGAGGAGGAGGAGGGGGATAAAGACGAGTGAAGCGGAGGAAGGGGAGGAGGAGGAGGAGGAGGAGGAGGAGGAGGAGGAGGAGGAGGAGGAGGAGAAGGAAGCATAAGAGGAAGAGGCGGAATCTGATAACCGCTTCCAGCTCCTCTTCCTCGTCGAAATCGATCCTTGGACCTGTCTAGGAGCACGTTCCGAGCATAATTTTGAGGCGTATCCAGTCGCGGCGAGGAGCACGCCTTCTAGAGGCCTGCGAACACAGCATACCATCATTCGATCACGGTTTCTCCTCGGTTCCTGGAGGTTTCGGGGGAAGTCTCTTGACGAGTAGGCTTACGCTGGAAGCCTTCCAGAGTTTCTGTAGGCCAGACCAACGGAGGGCCAAAACAGCGTGCCAACACCTTGGTCCACCTCCTCCTCCTCTTCCTCCTCGTTCTCCTCGTCCTCCTCCCTCGGCGAGGCGGCGGCGGCGACGACTGCTGCCCCGCCCCTCGCCCGAGGAGCGGTCCCTGATCGCCAGCGCGCTCAGGACGGGCCGCCTGCGGGAGGGGGGGCCGAGGAGCTTGGGGCTCGGAGCCGCTCGGGGTCGGGTTCAGCTGGGTGCTGCCCGCAGGAGATCTTCCGGAGCTCCTCTCGCGGGTGGCTCCCCAGGGCCCCGTAAGCCAGGACACTGTTAACCATGCAAGTGTCTCGGGCGGGCCAAGGTCTTGGTTAATCACCCCTTCCATTTAGGGTGCCTTGAGGTCCAGTCAAAATCACTTAAAGGGATTCCTCTCTCGCTCTCTGGGACTGCCCGCGGGAGCTCCGCTGGGAGAACAAATTGCCCATGAGAGGCTCGTTCCCTCCCTCCAGTCGGACCTCGGAGAGGGGCACCGCGCCTGGGGGGGCAGCGCCTGCTGGTGAGCTGGATCTCTGGGTGGCGGGTGGGGCGGCACCTTGCGCCCTGATCTGCAGTGGCGATGCCTCTTGTTGGGGCGACGTGCAGGAGGGGGCGGGGGGGGCAGAGCAGGGTCTCAGGGAGGGAGG